TAACCCCCTTTTTAACCCCTTCCTCCCTCCTCCCCCTTAATATATATATATATATATATATATATATATATATATATATATATATCTTATCCCTCCCCCCCATATACCTACTTTTATCACTTTTCTTTTTAAAAGAGGGGCCACTGCTGCTGCAGCCACCCTTTATTTGAATCTTTATTTTTATTTCTATCTTTTCTGCACACTATTTAAAGACACACTTTTCCACACACACCCCCTCAATTTAAGCCTCATTTTATTTCCACCTCAAACTCCCCTCTTAAGAATTAAAATGGCAGTACCCAGAAAACAGCCCTGAATCATCACAGGCCATTTCCTGGGACTGCCACTTCGCCCCAGACTTTCCACTCTCTTTTACCTATCCTCTTTTACCTATCCTTTACTCATTTTTTAAAAAAAATAAAATAAAATAAAAAGCTCTATCTATCCATCTCTCTATCTAAAGACACCCCCCCTTTTTTTACCTTTAATTCTCATTTTTATCTTTTACCCGTACATTTTTAATTACTTCTTTACAAACAAAAAATAATAACAATAATTAGGGGAAAATATTATTTATTTATTTATTTATTTATTTATTTTAAAAAAACCCATACAATTATTATTTTTTTCCCCTCTTTCTCTTTTTAAAGTCCTTTCTTTTCTATTTGTTGGCTTGTTCTTGAGGGGGGAATCTTTCGCCCCCAGCTACGACCACCACTCTCTTTTAAAACAAAAATTTCCTCCATATCACTGCTATTGCTATTGATACTCTCCCCCTCAACTTCCCCCCTTTTTTATTTTTCTCTCCCTTTTTGCTCTCCCCTCTCTCTTCACCCCTCGTCATTTTTCCCTTTTAGACCACCTTTCATTTTCCATCCCCAATTTTGTTTTCTATCCCTTTTATTTTTAAAAATCAACCCCCCCTTTTTAGCCTGTTCGTCAGTTTGTTTTTGAGAGGGGAGCCCTTTCCCCCCACCCCCTCTTTTAAAATAAGACTTTCCCCCATACCATTGCAGCAGCTCACCCTCCCTCCCTCCCCTCTCCCCCTCTCTTTTCTTCTCCTTCCTTTTCCCACCCTTCCCCCTCCTCCTCTCCTTTTCTCTCCCTCCTCCTCTCTCCATCCCCCTTCGCCTAAAGGAAACACATACACACATTCATATCACCCTATCATAATTTGCCCCCCTCATACTATAGCTAAAACTACTGCTGCATTCTAATACCGCTGATATTACTGTACTATCTCTCCTCTCTCTTTCAACTCTCTTTTTGTCTCTCTCTCTCTCTTCTCTTTTACTCCAATCTCCCCTCTCCCCCCCGCCTCCCCCCTTCTTCTTTCTTTCTTCTTCTTCTTCCCTTTTTTCTCCCTCCACCCTTTACATATAGCCTATTTGTCTGTCTCTGTTTCTGAGCGCACTCCCAACCCCAACTTCCACCTTAACTGGACCCCAATACCCCTTTTGGGCATATACAACCCCCTCATAAACACATATTTTCCCTGGCCCCACCCCTCTAATCTCTTGCATCTCTACCTGCTAACCCCCCTCCCTATATATGAACTGTTTGTCCGTTAGTCTACCCATCTCTGCTTACCTCCCCCCCCCCCCCGCCTCGGCGGCACCGCTGAGGCATCTACAAAAGCCCTAGAGAAGTTCTTAAAACACAGGCTAGAAGTGATACAAATGACCACCTAATCCAAACGCTCTGTAAAAGCCACCAGCCAACAAAGCCTGATCAGCTCAGCAACCCAACAATACCCAGGAATCACCACTGCCACAACTCCTAACCACCACACGCCCTACCCCAAGAGGACGCCAAGCCAACCTCAAACCAAAACCATCAGGGAGACCGAGATGACACCAACCAGGGAGATGGCAAACAATGCTAAGATGGTAACTCCCCTTCAAGATAATGACCACCTAATAACGAAACGAGATCTGAGGGAAATGGAAGCAAGATTAGAAGCACGATTAGAAGAAACACTGAAGGCCACAATGGCTCCCATGCAGGTACTAATCAACAATCTAATCTCCAAAGTGGAAGCTCTAGAGAACAAGAACCAAATGCAAGAAAGAATAATAGAGCAATACCGGGAGGAGAACGCACGTGTGAACAAGAAACTGGACGAACTGGTAAACCAAATGGAAGCAGAACATAGAGAGATGAAAATTAAGCAAGCCGACCTTCAAGACCGCAATAGACGTTGTAACATCCGCTTCCACAACTTTCCTGAAAAAACAGAGGAGAAAAGCCCAGCAGACCTAATTATACGCTGGCTGAAAAACACAATTCCAAGCCTGAAACTTGAGGCAGATGACTTGGAGAGGGCTCACAGAGCCCTAAAACCTATGCCAAAACCCAGCGCCCCCCCAAGAGACATCATTGTATGCTTCACACGCTACAAAAAGAAGGAAGAGGTATGGAACCACCTCAAAACCTCAACCAACCTTCGATATGGAGAAACCCCCATTCTGGCCTCACAGGACCTATCTCAGGATACCCTAAACCGGAGGAAAAGCCTGCGCCCATGCACCCAGCGTCTCCAACAAGCAGGGATCAAATACCGATGGGGCTTCCCCTTCCGCCTCATTGTAACAACCAATACAACACAACACATGGCTACCAACATACCTGAGGCCCTGCAAATACTAAAGAACCTTGAACTCGACCTCCCACCGGAATGGCAACCGACAAACCCACCAAGTGACAGCCCCAACCACGAGGAAACAACAGCAAACAACTGGACGACGGTACAGAAGAAAAAGAAACAACAGAAGCAGCACAACAACGCAAACCAATACAGGCAAGCATCATGCTCAGAACCGTCCCGCCGGCCATACGACACAAGAAACCAGACCAAGATTAACCAAACCAATTCATCGCAGATGGACAACCCTACAACAACAACAACAACAACAACCCCAGCTGAATGAAGCAACCAGGAAAAAAACACAAACTGAAGGACTGGTGATTCCCCCCCTTTCCCCCTCTCTCCCCCCCAAAAACATAGATTTAGTTAACACCATCAACATCCCCCCCAGCCCCGCACCCCCACAGGAATCCCCACCCCAACACCAGTCCAGACGACCTCAACCACATTCCCCATCACCCACACCTTCAACACCCCCATACTCCATACTAGGGAAAAACAACTCCTCCAACCTGAATAACACAACCCACAATCAGGCTAAAATCTGATACCCAACCAGCACTATGGTGGCACCAGAGTGTACCAGCACCCACATCCCCACCCCAACACACCAACAATGTTGCTCATAACATTGGCAACATTGCTTATGAACCTTATACCTTACAGCGACGTTACAAAGTCACTTCACACTGTCTCACTGATCACCCCCTATCGCAAACAACAGGGGGGGTGGCCTGTCCTTGAACACGACCTTCCACACCAGCTGAGACCTAGGACCAACCGGCTAAATGCCAGATGGCCTAAAATACCCCAAACAAACACCTATATGACTACATATAGGAAACTCTCTACAACTTACCCCCTACTCTTTAACCCAAATCTTACTCTAATCCCATTAGCCCCCCACCCACCATACCCTAGGTCAGCGCAACCCCACTGGTTCTTTAAACAACACGAAGAGACACAAGACAACCCGAACGGGTTGGCAGGGAATCGCCCCACATAATAGATAAGCAAGATGGCTAACCTAAAAGCAATTACATTAAACGTGAGGGGGCTGGGAAACCCCATCAAAAGACAACGCATCACCTCATACATAAACACCATGAAACCACACATCACCTTCCTACAAGAAATACACAACCCACCCAAAGGCAGCAAACTCCTGAGCGACCCCCGCTTCAGTCAACAGTGGGTTGCACAAGGCTCAGGGAAAGCTCGTGGTGTAGCCATAATACTCAGTAGAGACCTGAACTTCACTGCCACGACAGTCCTCAAGGACAAAAAAGGCAGATTCATTTTCGCTAAAGGTACACTAGATGGCAAAATCAAACTGACAATCGGCTCCACATATGTCCCAAACACGAAACAATTAGAATTCTTCCAGAAGACACTAAACAAATTCCTCTCCTTCTCTGAAGGGGAAGCAATCCTAGGAGGGGACCTCAATCTAAATATGAAAGGTATATCCCTGAAAGATATCCACCCCACAACCCCATGGGCAACCTTCCTCCGAAGGAAACCCCCAACAACCAGGAACTCTTACAAGTTACTAAAAATGCTAAAAAACAGGGGTCTCTACGACATTTGGGGTGAGCAAAACCCGGGAGACATCAGCCATACATTCCAATCGGGACGCCATGATACAGTGTCCAGACTGGACAGCATTCTACTCACACAGGGTCTGATCCCCTCAGTAGAATCAACAAACATAGGTAACATTAAAATCACAGACCACGCCCCAGTAGAAGTCATTGTTAAAATAGGAGAAGGAACACAAACCACCCCATCATGGTCCTTCAGTCCCATCCTAACTACAAACAAACAAATTAGAGAGAGTCTCACAAAAACCCTCCAAAACTACTTCAAAGAAAACGATGTAAACAATATAACAACCCCCCTCCTATGGGACGCAATGAAAGCGGTCACCAGAGGAGCTTGCATAAAAGAGAAAACATTCCTTAAAAAACAAACCTCAAAAATTAGCAAAATAGAACAAGACATCACAGCCCTCTCATCACGCTACAAACAAACAGGATCTAAAAAACTCCTCAAACTTATAGAACAAAAAAGGAGAGAACTAGACTCCCTAGAAATTAATAAAACAATGATCAACATTCTATACTCTAAACAACGTTTCTACAAATATGGAGGGAAAAACTCCAGATTACTAGCAAATAGATGTAGGAAAAAAGCACTCAAAACAAGAATACACTGCATCACCAAAAAAGATGGCAACATAACATTCTCCCCCGAAGAAATAACCTCAGAATTTGCAGAATTCTACTCCAACCTATACACCTCCCATAACCCACCAGAGAAGGAAATCAGAACATTTCTAGCAGGACTGACCATGCCTACCCTAACTGATGAGGAACAGGAATTCATGGACAGCCCTATCACCCCAGAGGAAATAGATGCGGTCCTCAAAAACCTGAAACCACACAAAGCCCCAGGCCCAGACGACTTCACAGCAGAATTCTATAAGAAATTCAAAGAACCCTTGATGCCCTACATGACCCGCCTATTCAACGACATCATAAAAGGGGGGCCCCATCCCCAAAACCTGGACCCACTCCAAGATAGTCTCCATCCCAAAACCACTAAAAGACAGCCTCAAAGTAGAATCATACGGCCCAATCTCATTAATAAACCAAGACTACAAGATATTCACATCAATCTTGGCCAACCGCCTAAAAATCTTCCTACACAAGTTAATAGCCCCAGACCAGACTGGCTTTGTCCCTGGCCGCAATATAACAGACCCCATCAGGAAACTACTGAACCTGATCGAACACAGCAAGGCAACCAAACTCCCATTGACAATTATGTCCCTAGACATCCTCAAAGCCTTTGATTGCTTGGAGTGGAAATACATATTAGCAGTACTAACTAACATGAAATTTGGCCCCAACTTTCTACAAATCCTCAAACAAATATACTCCCAAGCCTCAGCAAAATGCAGAACTAACAATATGGATTCTAACACTATAGCTATCCAAAGAGGCACGAAACAAGGATGCCCACTGTCTCCCTTCTTATTTATCCTGGCTCTGGAACCCCTAGCAATCCGCATCCGAGCAGCCACAGACATCAAGGGAGTGGAAATAAAAGGCAGAACCTATAAATTTGCAGATGACCTAATGGTCACAACACCAGACCCCATAAGCACAGCAACCTCCCTAATCTGAGAACTCAACACATTTGCAATGGTGTCGGGCCTACAGGTAAATTTTACAAAGTCAGAAGCTATGTGCTTCAACACCCCTCCTCACACCCAAAAAGAACTCATGAAGGTCACCAAAATAAAACTTTGCCACACCAAGTTCAGATACCTAGGGGTACAAATAACCAGAAACCTCAATAAATTGTACCTCCACAACTACAAGCCCCTGTGGCGACAAATTAACAAAGACCTAAAGAGATGGAATAACATGAACTTCACTCTCTCAGACAAAATAGCCATGATCAAAATGATCACACTCCCAAAACTAACCTACCTATTCCAAACCCTCCCAATCTGGATCCCCTCAACCCAACTTCGCAGTTGGCAGAGAAAACTACACTCTTTCATCTTCTCAACCAAGAATAAGTCCCAAATACCTGCACCTCCCCACCTCAGAAGGAGGATGGGGAATCCCCAACATAGAAGCATATTACAATGCCAACCAAATACGCCACATAATCCCATATATACTAGAAGATGAGACAAAACAATGGGTACACCTAGAGAGGGACACAATTGAAAACACCTGCACCACAACATACCCACTCCTCCCAAACAAACTAAAGAAAATTCCCACAACACTTAACAGGTACACACAGACCATGCTCAAAGCATGGAAAACACAAATAGGCAAACTATCTCCAACCCCATCCCCACTAATCCCCCTGGCGTACCACCCATTATTCCACCATGCAGCACAAAACCTCAAGATAAAAACCTGGCCAACCAAAGGCTTATATCGTCTAATAGACTTTTATAAAAATAACAAACCCTTGTCAACACAAGAAATACAAGACAAACTAGAAGACACCCAAATGCCCTGGTTAACACAACACCAACTACATGCCCTCTTAAACAACCCAACAGTAAAATCAGCAGCAACTAGGCCCCTGACAACCTTCGAAAACCTCCTCCTAACAACAAAGGGAAACGGTAAAGGGACGGTATCCGCAATATACAAAATACTACTCCAAAATCCCGCAAATTCCCTAGACGCAATCAAAAAACAATGGGAGAATGACATAGGCTATGAGATTAACCCCACTCAATGGACCAGAATGTGGTCTACACCCCCCCTTTAAATCCATATCAACGAAAAGAAAAGAACTCACACTGAAACTCACCTACAGGTGGTACCTAACACCAAGGAAACTAGCGCTAATACACCCAGGAACCTCACCAAAATGCTGGAGAGGGTGCACCTCCACAGGCACATACCTCCACATGTGGTGGGAGTGTCCCAAAATCCAACTATTCTGGACAACAGCCATACAAGAAATATGTAAAATAACTAAGCAAGTAATAGACATCACCCCAGAATTGGCCCTACTAAACATCTTCCAAGACAACAATGCCCATTTACACCACAAAGAACTCATAACCCACCTGCTCTCAGCAGCCAGAAACACCATAACCAGACACTGGAGAGACCTGTCAGGAGTAAGCATGGACCAATGGTACCAAATAGTATGGGAAACAGCCCTACTAGAAAAATTAACTCATAAACTGAAACTGACACGGGGACAAACAGAAGAAGACGCCTTCACCCCGGTATGGCTCCCCGTTATCACATACACAGCCCAACAGGACAATGACAATAATCCACCAACAGCATACAAATCAATATGGCTAACCTGATCCAAAACACCCACCCACCTCACTCACACACGAAAACAAAGATCACCACAGCCAATCACAAGCAAACAATCACACCCTAGGCCAACCCCAACCTCTCTCACCACCAAAGGAACACAAGTGAACAACACAAGCAACGCTGACACCAAACTCTACATACATTAAACATAATAGAAACACCGCCACCGGACCCCACCCCCATCCATCTTCCCTCTCTCCACCCCCCTTTTTTTCCTTTTTTTCTTCTTCTCCCCCTAATGCCTCAACAAATGAAACGGATTCGTAAAAATGTTACATAAAAAACAACAACGAGGCACTACACTTCTGTAAAACAAGAAAATCCTTAATAAAATATTAAAAAAAAAACAACAACCACAATTCCCACTGTTTGCCTAAGGCAAGGGAGTGAGGCTGAGCCACTGAAACTTGCTTAGCTGAGATTGGAGACAGGTCTTCCTAATAAACAGCCCACAATGCAAACGTTAAATCAGAAGCTGCTACTGGAGACAGGTACAGAAGCTGGGATGTATGAAGCTGCCCTTCCAGAGTTAGTAGTTTTCGTCCCACAAGATACATGTCTTTCTCTGGCAGAGATCCTGGAGGATTTGTTGTTGCCATCTTGATCCTCAATATATATTTTTGCTAGCATCGCATGGTGCTAAAGCCGGCGTTTTCATCTCTGTTTAACTAGCATGGCTCGGTCAGCCTGAGCTGAGATATCTTTTCTCACATAAACCAGATTATAGCTACATGAAGTGTAAGCTGAGACGCTTACTGAAAGCATTTAAGCATATATATATCTGCCAGAGTTAGATTTGGAGTAAGTTTGCCAGGGGAGAAAAGAGTTCACAACTTAAGAGGCTCTCGTGACCTATGATGCTTGTGGTGCTTCTTAAAAGGGTTTATTAAATTTGTATAGTGCTTCCCACTAAACACCCCCCAAGGTGATTTGCAAGTAAGTAAATATACAATAATAAAATGATAAAAGCAGATTAAAAACAGATTTAGCAATATAATGCCACTGATGCTGCCTCAAAGCGTGATAAAAGAAATGTGTGTTTGATGAGTAACAAAACGCTGACAAAGTTGGAGCTGAATCAGCTCACACTCCCCCATGCCTCACTAGGGACAGCAATTCCACTGTGGGGCGAGAGATCTTTTAGTGGGGTAGTACTGACACTGGAACTCCCTGCCTATTGACAGATGCTTTGACTATGCTCTTTTCAGCACCAGCTAAAAACATGTTTGTTTAGGCAAGCTTATCCAGACACAGCTATTTTTTATCAACTGGAACTCGCTGGAACACAGTTCCAGCCCTTCACAGGTGGACTCCATTGCCATTATAAAAGAACAAGGTGAGCTCCTGCACCTCTTTGTCTAGCACTGGATACAGAGAATGTTGACTTGACGCTTTTAAATCTGTTTTTTTTTAAAGCTTATTGTTGATTTTCAACCTTTTGAAAACAGATAATTTCATTGCTTTTTTGTAAACTGCTTTGAGGGGATTTTTTAAACACTCAAGTAGTAGTATTTATTTAGTTCATAAAATTTATAAATAATAGTATATACATTTTATGAAGTAAATAAATTAAAAAAATTGGGTGGGGGGCTACTACAGAGAAGGCCTGTTTTGTGTTGCCACTCTCTGGACCTTCGCTGGGGGTGTCATGCAGGAAAAAGCCCCAGATACTGAGGGTCTCAGGGTCCGGGAAGGTTCATATGGGAAAATGGTTGTTGGCATCTATAATGAGTATGGGTTGCTCGTGCGTAAGTTGCCGCCTCTCCAGGCTTTGTTGCCTTGGTAAACCTTTCAGTCTGGGCAGCCCTTCACTTCGTGGCTGCCTCAGTCACTAGCAGAATCCATCAGTGGGCGTTTCTTAAATCTTTTCCAACATAAAAGTTGTTTGACACCCAGTCTCCTCCTACTCTCTCTGCGCGGAAGTCTTCTGCGCAGGGTGGGCGTGGGTCGTGGGGGACCAGTGCTGTCCCGCTGGTGTCCGGTGAAGAGTCCTGGAGCCCTCTCGCCGATTCCCCCATCAGCCCCTCCTTATCCCTGGTGTAGCGCTGATTTGCTTCCCCATCTGCGGAGCTGCCTCTCTCCCTGCTGGGCCCTTCTCCAGCATCATTTGAGAGCCTTCCCTCCGCCTCTAGCTCCGATGTCAGTTCCCTGACAGCATCTGTCTGCTTCAGGAGACAATGGAGGAGTGCAGCTTTGCGGGTGAAGTCAAACCACTGGTGTGTTGGAGCACCTGCTATGGCTGTAGAGACTAATACAGGAGCAATATGCTTTGCTGCAGCTGGGGCAGATGAAGGTGTCCGGTTGTGCTTATGTAGATGATACTACGGCATGTCATCTCTCTGTGCTCCTCCCGCTGTATTCTTTAGGTTTGGAGTTCCTAAGGCTTTAAAACAGGCACTTTGAATTGGGCCTGAAACCAAATTGTGAGTCAGTGCTATTGGACCAGCACCAGTATTATAAGTTCACACCTTATCATTCCAGGACTCAGCTACATTGGTCAAATTACAACGTTACAAATGTGTTATAACACTGTGATACCAGGTGGAGCTGTAGAGCTGAAATTGCAACTCAGTTATATTTTCCATTGTGAGCTTTACAATGGTTTCCCCCCCCCCCCAGAACATTTTCAGAGTGCTTTTTAAAGTTGTGTAGATCTAGCCCCCAATTAAGAATATACGCGCCACATTCTGCACTAACTGTGGTTTCTGAACCATCTTTAGCAACAGCCCTTCATACAATGCAATGCTGTAGTCTGCCCCAGAGATGATGATTATTTAATTGCCCTCCACATATGTCCCAAGGCCATGTACAGAACATAATAAAAAGAGCTAGAATGCAGTTTAAAACATCACAAACAAATAACAGAAGATGAATTTTCAGAGCACTACAAAGTGGACATCCATGGCAGAGATGTGTTCATCCAGCTAGGGAAACTTTTTCTCAGAGGCTGACAAACAACTGAAGCCAGACTATCACT